ACGCGCCCCCCTCTGGTCTCCACCGGCTCTGCACACACAAAGTGCACACACACACACACAAACACACACACGCACGCACGCACGCGAACGCTCTTGCAGACAAATAACTGGAAATCCTAAAACACGTCTGTTAAATAACTTGTTCATGTCTTGGCTTCTGACGAACCCTTCTTCCCAGCCGCGGTCCCATGGAGACCGGTGGCTGTGAGGTTCCCCCGGGAAAATTCCGCTGAGTGACCTTGGCTAAGTCACCACCGTCCTCAGGACCGCCGCAGTCGCAGGCCCAAGCGGTCCCCGCACTCTGCCCCCGCTGCCCTCGCCCCGGGAGGCGCGCGTGCCCCCCACCCCGCTCCCCGACCGCCGCGGGGCCTCTCACCCGGGCGTGCACTGTCCCCATGGCTCCCTCTCCGGCCGCTCCCCCGCTGAGGTGCCCGCGCCCAGCCCAGCTCAGCTACGGGAGCAGACGCGCGGCCACAGGTCACGGAAGCAGCTCGCCGATCTTCGCCAAAGTCCGGAGCCTAGGGCCCGCCCCCTGGCTCCAGGGCCTCCGCTCATTGGGCCGTGTGAGACAGTGACCCGGATGTTGTTCCCAAGAACGCCGGGAAGGCCAGTGCCCTCTGAGCGCTTGCAGTAACGCCGGGATAGCCGCTCCTCCCTGGCCAGAGCTGACCCACGGGCGCCGTGTGGCACTGAGCACCTCCTGGGCACCAAAGCCTGGCCCTCGGCCCCTGGTGTTTCGCGTAGGTGTAGTCTTGGAGCCCCATCGTCACTTCCAAGGTGTGACCGGAAGGGCGCAGGGATTAGAGACGACTGTCTGCTCCAGGAGCGGGACGTGGAACCTAGCTTGGGTCAAAAACGTTAACACGTCCGCCCGGATCTAGTAGAAAGGGTGAGTGTGGTGCTGGGGGTCGTCCCTCCAGCGGTAAAGGCACTTGCCGCCAAACCTGAGAGCTTAAACTCAGTCCCTTAGACGCCACGTGGTGGAAGTTGTCCTCTGATCTCCACACATAAAATGAAACTAAGAGTCAATAAACCGGGTGGTGGTGGCACGCGCCTTTAATCCCAGCACTCGGGAAGCAGAGGCAGGAGGATATCTGTGAGTTCGAGACCAGCCTGGTCTACAGAGTGAGTTACAGGACAGCCTCCAAAGCCACAGAGAAACCTTGTCTCGAAAAACAAAAACAAACAAACAAAAAAAGTCAATAAAGGATCACCTTCGCAGACTCCCCAGAAACGTGTTTGTTTTTATTTTATCTTTCAATTAAATATATATTTGCATCATCACTTCCCAGGATTTTTTTTTCTTTTGAGAAAGGTTTTCTCTGTGTAGCCCTGGCTGCCCTGTGCCCTGGATCTTGCTCTGTAGACCAGGCTGGCCTTGAACTCAGAGATCCGATTGCCCCTGCCTCCCGAGTGCTGGGATTAAAGGCGTGTGCCCCCACTTCCCGGCCAGATTCAATCCTTTTTAAAACAAATTCTTTTCTTAAATCTATTTACTTATTCTGTATACAATGTTCTGTTGGCATGCTTGCCTGTACACCAGAAGAGGGGATCAAATCTCATTATAGTTGGTTGTGAGCCTCTATGTGGTTGCTGGGAGTTGAACTCAGGACCTCTGGAAGAACAGTCAGTGCTCTTAACCTCTGAGCCATCTCTCCAGCCCCCAGATTCATATTTTTAAAAAGATGAGTGGAGCCCATTAGGTGAGAGCAGTCACATCAGACTGCTGTGAGCTTGTGTTTTGGTAACAGAAACAGCTACTCTGCCTCAAAAGAGCAGTGTAATAGAAGCCACCCATAGCTGTGAGCTGCAGTCCCCTGAAGGCAGGGTGGAATTCCTCTCCTGACCTGCAGTCAGCCTAACACCACTGCTCCTCACTGTGGAAACCTAGCTTCCTTTTCCAGACTTGTCCCTTCAGGAGATTCTTGTACTTGTTTCATTTAAGTGGCACTCCTCTGGCATCCAAGCCTCCAAAGTCCACACCCTTCTTGTCTGGAAAGAGGCAGAAACTTCCAGCAGCAGCCCTGTTCCTGCCATTCCCTGCCTACCTTGACCTATCCATCTGGTTTCCAAGTACTGGGTCAGCCCAGTGCTCAGATCCTGGTGAACCTGAGCTAGGCACCACACAGGAACTCAAGTACTGGCTGAGTTCCTGTCCTAACCCAAACCAGATTATACGTTAGCAGGGTCATTGCTCCTGTCATTCATATACAATGTATGTAAACCCCACTGCATGAGAACAAGACTGCTACAACAACTTCTGAGCCAAATCTGAAGCAAGCTTAATTAAATACTGGCCAGGACTATAGACACTGGCCAGGTCCATACCCAGTATTCCTAGACTATGGTACCAGTTGGATTAGTCAGAGGCTTATAAAGACAAAACCCACAAGACTATGTATGTACTTCCTGCCTTTGTCCAGTGGGGGAAGGGGGAAGCATACATCTTGACTACATAGCTGTCACCTACGTACAGCTGTCCTGTTCAGTTGGAGCAGCTAAGCTTGTGTATAGAGGTGAAAACATGTGGCTTGTTATTTTATATGGACAATAGTCCACAGAATTCCAGCAAGTTATCTGTCCTCTGGCAAATGGGGCTTACAGGTTAGAGGCAATTTTGTTTCATAGATCTCATAAGCGCAGTGATTTAAACTTAAAACATAACTTTAACCCTCATGTGTCCTCTCCCTGTTATATTATTAAAAAGCCCCTATAAGGCAGGCAGGTGGATCTCTGAGTTTGAGGCCAACCTGGTCTACAGAGCATGCTCTAGGACAGTCAGAACTGTTACACAGAGAAACCCTGCCTCAAAACAACAACAAAAACAGTTATAAACTGGGCAGTGATGGCACACATCTTTTAATCCCAGTGCTCAGGAGGGAAAGGCAGGTAAATCTGAGTTCTAGACCAGCCTGGTCTACAGAGTGAGCTCCAGGACAGCCAGGACTGCACAGAGAAACCCTGTCTCAAAACAACAAAAAATACAAAAACAAAAAAGCAGCTGTAGATAGAAGGCAGAAAGAGGGACTTAGGAGGGACTATGTTTATGCATGATGAGGGAATATTTTTGTTTTGTTTTGTTTTGTTTTTCCAGACAGGGTTTCTCTGTATTATTTTGGAGGCTGTCCTGGAATTCTCTCTGTAGACCAGGCTGGCCTCGAACTCACAGAGATCCACCTGCCTCTGCCTCCCGAGTGCTGGGATTAAAGGCGTGCACCACCAACGCCCGGCTGAGGGAGTATTTTGTCCCCATGTTTTGGATGGCCAGAATGGCTACAGGGGGAGATGGGATGCAGCCCTTGTAGAAGTGGAAATGACTACCTAGTCCACAAGGGAAGCTGGGAACTGTAGTCCTTCACCAGGAAACTATCACTCCCCTACTCCCTTATTATTGGGGCTTAGGACAGTCTCCCCTGGTGAATAAATCTGCGATATCATCATTACATTGAGGTAAATTGAAGGTGACTCAATCTTGAGTACTTTGCCCATGATCCGAGATTTGTTCAGGTTGTCCCTCTGTTGGATGCCCTCCCTGGCTGTGTCACCTGGGAGTGCTCAGACAGTTTTCAAGGCTGCCCACACTAGCTTTACCTGTGGCCTAAGAGAGTCAAATCCACCTAACCCTGTGTCACCACTGTTTGCTTCCCAATGTCCCTCAGTGTGTTCTGGAGACCACACCGTATTCCTTTCAGTGGCCACTAAAAATGCGCATTCTAGGCTGGTGTGGGACTGTGATGGCACTGGGAAGGCTGCAGTAGGAGAATGGAGGGTTCCAGGTGAGCCTGGGCTACATAGTTCCAGACCAGCCTGGGCTATATAGCAACAACCCAGTCACTTATTCTGCAGTGTGGAGGACATCTAGCATGCAGGCCTAGAGAGGACACAAACCTATAGAGAAAGCTGTCCCACAGGCCCTTTGACTGCAGGAGGAGAGAGGCCGAAGAGACTGAAAGTGCATTTTAAAAATCATATTTATTCATTTTTCCACATTTATTATGCACCCTTTTCCCTTAGCAGTTGTGGATATTTTTGGTGTATCCATTCAGTCCTTCTGAGAACATACTCATTTGTATAGATACACCCACACTTGTTTTTTTAAACAAGTGAACTAACTTTGCTGCCTGCTTAGGAGGTCAGGATCTTGCTCCCTGATGCCAACTTTCCCACTCCAGGTATTCCTGACAGTGGAGGGCTCTAAACCAGCAAGAATTTTATTTGATAGGGTGGCAGGAATATTCTCTGTTGATGAGAAATCTCCAGAAAAGGGAAGCTCAAAGCAGAGCAAAAGAAGCTTCTACCGACAGCAGTGGTGGCACACGCCTTATCCCAGCACTCAGGAGGCAGAAGCAGCTGGAGCTCTGTGAATTCAGGCCAGTCTGGTCTACAGAGTGAGTTCCAGGACGCCAGGGATACATAGAGAAACCTGTCTTGAAAAACAGGAAAAAAAAAAAAAACCACAAAACAAACAAAAAGGAGAAGAGGAAGGAGGAGGAGGAGGAGGAGGAGGAGGAGGAGGAGGAGGAGGAGGAGGAGGAAGAAGAAACAGCAGTAGCAGCTTCTACCATTTTTTTGTTTGTTTTGGTCTTTTTGAGGCAGGGTCTCATTTAGCCAAGGATGACCCTGAACTTCTGATCCCCTTTCTCTACAGCTTGAGTGCTGGGACTGTGTTTGCCAGTCACATCAGTTTACGTGATGCTGAGACTGAACTCAAGGATCTATGCATGCTGTACAAGTACTCTACCAATTGAATTCCACCCTCCCTCCCGGTTTGTTTTCTTTTCACGAGACAGTCTTTCTTCTGTGTAGCCTAGAAGTTTTATCTCTGGAGCCATATTCTCTCCCCCAGAATGAGCTCCTATCCAATCAGAATCAACCCCGCTGAGATTGTGTGCACCAGGGTGTGATGATTCCTCCTGAAGTGCCGTGTGAACCTGGAACTCAGTAGGACTCTAGGAGACTCAGACACGGGAGACATGGACCTCACCGCCAGACGTATGAGCAGGTCCATGTTTCGGGCTTTTTTTTTGTTTGTGTTCTAATCTAACATGTGAATTTCGGGAAACACACATCACACCCGCAGCTGTAGACATACACCTAAGAAAAGTAGATGCTTCTCCCCATTAAGGCCAGTGGAGTAGCCGAGAACAGAGAGAGGCGGTGATGGTGGAGTAGACCAGAAAGGAGAGAGGCAGTGATGGCTCATGACAATACAAAGATTTGGAGACAGTGGAGAAAACAAGCCAAGTTCAAGCTGAGGGTGAGGACACAGAGGTCCACTGTGCTCTCTGCCTGTGTTGTTTTGCCCCCACATACAAGAGATTTTATTGTAAGGTTAATTCTATCCACAGTTCACTGATCACACATGTAGTTCACTACCCATTCCCTAGTCTGTTTATATAAAATTCTTTATAAACTATAAAGTATTTTAGTAAGAACCAACGGTGTCCTTGAATGTAGTAAGTTATCTTCCTCGACTGTCAGGCTCTTCTCAGGGACAGCCACACGCCATTCCATACACTTCCCCAACATTTTTCCTTATGAGATCACCCAGTTTAGATTCCTGTTTCCAAATACTGTTGCCCTTGGCATCCGGAACTATTCAGTCTGAGAGACAGTGGAGCCTCCTCTCTGGGTTAGCTCTCAAACACTAGACTTCACCCAGACTAGACAGAGTTTCTAAAGACAGTTGTCTTTGGTTTCTATAAACCACCAATTTAGCCCAGATCCTGTGATTCTGGGGCCACAGGCATGAGGTCCCCACAGGACCCAGGGGCAGCTGCACAGACAGGAGACCCAGCTCCTGGACAGTAATTTCCTAGATGCCTCCAAAAGGAACAGAGCCCTTCCCACTGCAAAACAGACTATAGCACCCCACCCACCCACCATTCAGACACTTGCTTTAGCTGAAGGTAAAGCCAGGCTTGTGGTGGAAGGCAGGGTGGCCTCAGCTTTGGTCCCTCCTGGACCATTCACATGGAGAATGTCCAAATTCATAGGAAGCAGGGAGACCAACAATTTATAAGCCAGCAGAGCCACACTGGGGTTTGTGTAGCGATGAGTGATGTCCATTCTTGGGTGCTTGGTCGTCACTCTCGGGTGCTCGGAATCTGAATGGAAAGAAGGCAGCACTGTTGGAGGCCCTTCCCAAGGCTCCCGGGTCCTCAGTACCCTAAGACTGTGGTTAGAACCCAGCCTTTGCTGGGTCTCCTCACAGATCCTCATAGGAACCTCCTGGGACACTGAATCCTTGCTTGCTGGGGCACAGTCTTCCACCTGAGAAGTGAGTCTACAACATCAAAGGGGTGTCACTTCCCACCCCCATCCCCTTCCCTGCCTCCTGCCTGGGAGTCGAAGAGCCTGGCTGCAGACTCTTGCTGTGAGCCTCCCCTAAGAAGTGGTTCCCTCTGCCAAGTGGGCTCAGAGTCTCTTCAAAGACACCACCATGCTGTTTATCTCTGGTGCTAGGGCCTGAACTGCCTGGAAGCCCCCACCATGCTGTTGCCCCTCTATCCGTCTGTCCGTCCACAGCATTAATAACTTCTAATAAACTCCTTATTCCCCAGGCGTCTTTTGAACTCCCCACCCCACCCAAAACCTAACAGGTACAGGGAGGGTGGTGCCAGGCATTGAGCCACCATCACATACTTGGTTACCGCAGGGGTGCAGCCCAGGGCCACAGCTTCCTCCTGCCTTCAGTGCTGATGTGACCGTCCCCATCCTCTAAGCCTGAACACCCCTGGTGGATATCCATAGCTTCCCCACCAACCAACAAGCCCTCCCCTGGACCATGGGCTTCCTCCACAGGAGGTGCCCCACGACCTCTTGGACCCACTTCCCATAAGTCACTGGGACTGCCCACCTTATTCCAGGCTGCCCAGGGTTCCTGCCCACAGCACACCAATGCTGCTCAGCACCCTGATCTCCTCTGCCCCCAGCCCACAGCTCCTCCTCCTTATCTCCATCCTCCCTTCACAGCCTAGGTGAAGGGTCCCCAGCCCAGCAGATGTCCTGGGGTATCTGGTGGACTCAGGGCCTTCCTCAGGATGCACCCTGCACAAAAGGGCAAACTCCTTGTCACCGGCCTGACACTGAGTTAGATGTTCCTAGAGTGTTGCATGGGGGCCTGAGCACAAACCTTGTGGTTCTGGCAGGAAAGAAAGCATTCTGAAGAGACAGCTGTGCCCTCTCTTAGGCTCTCAGACCCTTGAGACAATGGAGGTCAAGGAACTGGGATTTCCCCAGGAGTCTCATGCTGAGGAGAGAAGGTGACAATCTTGGAGGAGAGCCTGGAGCCCAGACAACAGTGGGCAGAACCACACTATGACTAGGACTGCTAAGCATACCTCTATGTAAACTTAAGTCTCCTGTCAGTACCCCAAAGGTTAACTGGTGTGTGGGAGTCCCCTTAATCTTTCTATTTGTGGATACATCTCCCTTCTCTGCTTTTCATTGTTACTTTAATTGTCCTATTGTGGACAGGTGGCTGAGTCTGGCTTGTTAGGGCTGTTACGACCCAAGCTCTGGGAACAACAGAGATGCCCACCTAGCCCTCATACCCTGGGCCAAATTATGTACCTGGTAGAGGGGAGCAGACACGTTGTCATTCGGGCACAAACTTGGGATGTCGCCCACTGTAACCATTGGATATCATCAGGGATGTCAGGGAACCATATCACCAACCTGCAGGAAGGAAGCCAAGGACAACGTGCATGTGTATTGCACAGAAACACGCATGCACACAGATCACATGCACACATGGGTTCACTATATCTGCATGAAGATAAACCAGGAGAAAAAGTCAGCAAAAAGCAGCCATCTCCCAATAGTAGCCTTCACCCACATGAGCTGCCGGTGTCACTTCTAACACCATCTAATAAGCTCCCTAAGGCAGATCTGGGCTGTCATCACAGCAGTGAACCTTCCAAAGTCCCTAAAGCAAACCAGGCCTCTCAGGGTTCCAGAAAGCCCCATGGGAGTAAATGGGGAAGGCCTCGGCTCGGTGGGATCAGTCAAGGGTTGATGGCAAGTGCTGGTTGAGGCCTAGTCTCTCCTTGGAGGCTAGCTGTGAATGGCCAATGTGAACATAATGGAAGTACCACAGGGACCAAACACATGTGTAGGCTCTGGCGAGGTTGCCGGTAAGAGCCAGCCCAGAGCAGAAGGCTGACTCCATAGGGAGACACCGAATCAGTACAGCTGCCCAGGGATTTTTGGTGGAGAAATTAGAGGTGGGCGGGTGCAGGGTGCTAAAATGGAAATGCAGGGCATGCGCACACGACTCTAGCTTGCTGCATGTCCTATCCAGAGGTGTGTGAGCAGACCTGTGCAAGTGGCAGGTCTTCAATGGAGCAGAGAGAGAAGCAGCAGGGAGGCAGCCCGGGGTTACATTTCTTTCTTTTCACACAGGGTTTCATTCTCTTGCCAGGCTGGCCTACTCTGGGCTTTTTAGCTTCCTAAGCAACTGGACTGCAATTGTGAGCAGCTGACCCAGCTAAAAGATTGAGTAGCTTCAGCCAGAAGGTAAAACTGTACAGCTTGGCAGCACAGCAAGCCTGCAGGAAGGACAGGGAGGTAGCTGTCTCCTGCAGCAGTGCAAAGGTTGGATCAACTTTAGGCGCTGCCTGGAAGCTGTGCTGGTGACCATAAAATAAGAATGCCCGTGGGGAGTGGGCGTGGGTGGTGAATCATGCCTGACATCTGCGTGCACACGAGAGGTGACGCAGATTTGACTTGAGTTTGCTCTACACAGTAAGTTCCAGGCCAGCTTGGGCTATGGAAGTAAAATTCTGGCTCAGAAGTGCGCACACAGGGCAGAAAGATGGTTTTGGCCAGGTCTGACACCTTGAGTTTGATTTCCAGGACCCACACAATGGAAGGAGAGAATCAGCTTCAGAAAGTTGTCCTCTGACCTCCATGCATAGGCTATAGCCTTCATGAGTGCTTCCACAGGTGCGCGCGCGCACACACACACACACGCGCGCACGCATGCACGTGTGCACACACTCAATGCATAGACAATAAATAAATGTGAAAATACTCCCAACATACAGACACCCCCACACACACTCCCACTTACACAGATGCAGACACGCCCCTCCACACTCTTCCCCAGCACACACAGCAAGAAGAGGATGCTCACATAAAGGAACAGAAAGAAAGGGCCAGCCAGAGTTTAGAAGTTCATTTATGCTACTAATGTTAAAACCAGAGCAAATGCTAGGCAATGGTGGTGAACACCTTTAATCCCAGCACTGGGGAGGTAGAGGCAGGTGGATCTCTGAGTTCAAGGCCAGTCTGGTCTGCAGAATGAGTTCCAGGACAGCCAGGGCTATACAGAGAAACCCTGTCTTGAAAAACCAAAACCAAAACAAACAAAAATAACTCAGAATGGGACTGGAAGGTAAATTCGAGAAGACTTCAGATTGGAGGCAAAAAGTCAAAGATCTGAAAAATGTAGAAAAGAAAGTTCCAGGTCAGAATCCAACCCAGAGGCAAAGCTCTCACAAGTGCCCCAGGAAAAGGGGGAGAGATGACCATGGAGAAGAAGGAATTACAGACATAATTACAAATGGTCGAGTTCCCAAACCGCAGTAGAGACAGGCTTTACCTGAGAAAGTGACAGTCTGTGGAATGAAAGACTAGCCAAAGAGGAGCAGAAAGACCAGAAACCACTCAGCCACAGAGAACAAAGTGGAAGCGGACTGCGCATGAGCAGGTGGTCTCAGCCTTTGCGCCTGCAGGCCTCTGAGCAGCTTCTCGGCAGTCAGAAAACAGGTGAGGCCCCGGGAGGCCGGCAGAGCACTGTTTCCTTAGGGACTTGGTAAGGATCTGCTTCAGCAAAACAGGCGAGAATGACAAGAAAAAAGAGACAGGGCCCAGCCTGGCCAGAGTGGCGCACATTTGATCCCAGCACTCAGGAGGCCGAGGCAGGAGGATCTCCAAGTTCTAGGCCAGCCTGGTCTACAAAGCTAGTTCCAGGACAGCCAAGGCTATTACACAGAGGAACTCTGTCTGAAAAAAAAGAGAGACTGAGAGAGAGAGACAGAGAGAGAGAGAGAGAGACAGACAGACAGACAGACAGACAGACAGACAGAGACAGAGAACCCTGGAAATGGAAGGACCAAGCTGTGTGGTATCCCTGGGGCACCAGTTCAGATGAGACAAGACAAGGACACCAGGCAAGGGCCAAGGCAAATGGCACAGCTAGAACCTCCACATTACCTCTCTCTCCCCCCTCCCTTTTTCTTCTTCCTCCTTCCCTCAGTCCCCTGCCTCATGGTACTGGGATTGGGGGAGTGAACCATACTAACTATCCACTCGACCACTGAGCTATGTGCCCAGTCACATTCTGTTTTGAGACAGGGTCTCTATACGCAGCTCAAGCTAGGCTTAACTGACTCTGTGGCCCAGGGTGGTATCTTCCTGCCTCAGCCTCCAATCAGAGTGCTAGGACCACAGGTGTGTACCATCATACCCAGTATCAGAATCTGAAACATTGTGAGCATTGGTGTGAGGCTTAAAACATTTCCGATTTTCCTTTTTTACCTGTTTGATCTTGCTTAACTGGTAAGCCTATGCAAACTCCCAGAATTCCAAAGCAACAACAAGCCCAAGCCCTCAGAAGTCTCAGACACTTTGTTCCTAAGCATCTTGGGTAAGGGAAATCAACCTGAAAACAAGTCACTGCCGCCAGCTGGACATGGGAGAACACACCACATACAGGACCCCACTGGGCTCCTGATGGTTCTCCCCCACAGGCTCATCTTTCTCTGTTTCTTCAAAGGTAAGCAGAAGCACAGAAAGGTGCGTTCATTAGTCCAGGGCCACACAGCCGTGGCAAGGTGCAGTCAGGTGTTTAGCCAGCAGTCTGATGACTGAGCTGAGCTCCTGCCCCACTGTGCTGTTTGAGTGGGAGCCCCATTCCAAGTCTGAGGACCACCTCACTTCTGTCTCCTAACTGCTGGCTCTGACTCATCCCCATCCAACCATGGCCAGAAGGAATGGGCCTCTCATCCCAATACTATCTGCTTGTGATTCTAAAGATGGGCCCAAGGGACAGCAAGGACCTGCTTCTAGGCCTGGCCTTCCTACTCACCAGCTCAGTGGCCACAGAGTTGTAGCCTCTACCTCTCCCTGCCTCAGTTTCCCCAGGGGATCATGAGTGGCTGGACTAGGGGGCTAGTTAAGGCTATTGCCAGCTCTACAAGTCTCCAGATGGCTTCAGAGCTTACACCATGTTGCAGATACCCATGGCTGAAGGAAGGAGGGCCTCTCCAAGGGGTTCCGTCTTGTGACACATCCAGCCAGCCCGGGGTGCAGCCACTATCAGCTCACTGAACCATGCCTTAATGCTCACCTGTGGACCACAGCGATGGCCAGCTCCACGGGCAGCGTGCAGGGCAGCATGATGTACGACAGGATCCTGATGGGCAGGAGGTTGCAGACTTTGCTCAGATAGCCATCCCTGTCCTTAATGGCTTCACTCACAGCTGAAAACAGCAATTTGGAACCAGGTATCTGTATGGCTCCTGAGAATCCTAGAATTCAAGCCCCTGTCCAATGAGGATTGGGCCAGCTTTGAAACAGAGGAGGCCTGGAGTGAAAGGACCGGCAGCAGCCCAGCTGGGACACCCTGGGGTTGGTGAGCTGTTCCTCTCACGGCAAGGGTGATGCAGAGGTCAAGCCCCAGCCAAGACCGGTGGTTCAGGCTTCTAATCACAGCATGTGGGAAGCTGAAGCAGGAGGATTTCAAGTTTGAGGCCAGTGTGGGCTACACGGCCCCCCCCCGTGCTGGCATATGTTTAGACCTGTGGCTTGCTCATGTTTCCAGAGGAGGGGCACGCAGCTTCCCAGCCACCTCACTCCACCCCTCAGCTGCCTCTTTCTAACTGAAGCTTTACCTTCTATCCCCCTGATGACCTCCTGACACCTCCCACTGAACAGCTACTGCCTGGAGGGCAGACACTGGGTTCCATTCATGTCTCTCCTGCGCCTAGTTGGAAGCCGGTTGTAGACTAGTCAGTCTGGCTTGGCAGATCAGGCCACTGTCAGACTACAGTTACCCAGCAACTTCTACAAACAACAACTGCTGACTCTTCACAGGTTTGGATGTTGCAAAGCCAAGTGTTAAAGTGCCAGCAGACACTGGTGTCCAGTGAGGGCCCAGGTCATAGGTAGCACCTCTGCAGGCAGAAGGACTAGAAGATACTTATTGGTCCTCTTTACAGCACCAATCTCATTTGGAAGGCCCTGCCCAGTGCATGCCTCCCAACCCCATCCCCTTGGGAACCTGGATTTCAGTGTAAGACTCATTTTTGTTCTTAAGATAGGTTTCCATGTGGTCCAGGCAGACTCAGAACTCACTATGTAGTCAAGGCTTGCCTTGAACTCCTGATCTGCCTGGCTTCACCTCCTAAGGACAACACCACGTTAGGCTGTCAGCACAGGAATTTTGAGGGACATAAACATTTAGAACATGCCATTGTCCACTCAGGCAGCAATGACATATCACATGGAGGTGTAAAACTGACTGATGGATGAGAGAGCTAAGGAGAGACAGGTGGACAAGTGGACAACAGTGACCCCAAAGGTGTTCTGAATGACCAGTTGGGAGACAGAGGCTGGACCCCAGGTCCTCCCTCATATCCACGGCCCTAATCAGAGCTGGAGCCAGTAGGGAGGCAGCCTGGCAGGGTGGGCCTGGGCCTGGCTGCTCGGCTGGAGCCTGTGTGGGTAACCTGGGCTCAACTAGATCAGCATTCCTCTTCATGACCTCTAGGTACAGGGATGGGTGGCAGTGGCCAGCTTGTGCAGTAGATGGAGATGTCCCTGTGGTCTGTTCCCATAACCCCAGAGGCTTCTTGTTGGAGAAGTGTCACCTTTTCCCGTCACACACAGCAAGTGGCCCAGTTGCTTACATCAACTGGCATGCCCTGGTCCCATTCCATCCCAGTACAGCAGTACCTATGCTGAGCTTGGGGGACAGGGTCTCCCAGATGTTCTCATCCCAGGGAACAGATGTAAGGCACAGGCTGGCTGGTAGCTTGTCCCCTACAAGACTGCTGTTTTCCAGGCAGAGAGGCATGGCTTCTGGCTCCATCTCCTCTGAGGACAGACTCAGGCTGGGCTGTGGCCCATTACAGATGCCTGCAAAGAACATGGAGATACCCATGAGGGCGAAGACTCTGGGGAAGGCCATGAGGATGGGTGACAGAACCAAGGGACTCTGCAGTCACCCCCAGCCAGGACCTACCGTTCTCTGCCAGGAACCGGAAGGCATCCAGGTACCCTTGAAAGCACAGCTCTCCCATCACCTGTGAGCAAATCAGGCAGGTGAATCACAGGGACCATGAGTGCCATGTCTTCTGAGAACCAAGGACATCCTAGGCTTGGAGGGCCCCGAAAAGGTCCGTCTGACTCTGTGTTTCCCCGGGTCTCAGCTTGAGTGTCCTCTCCACAGAGACTGCCAGCAGAAGCTGTGATCCAAGCAGCTTGAACCTGGGGCTAAGTCATCACTCTAACCAATATGGTACTACTACCTTAACTGTCCCTGGACAATCATGACTGAGCATCATGCTTGGGGAGCAATGTGGGTACATGAAGTTATTTATGTATTTTACGTATGAGTGCCCTGTCTGCTTATATGCCTGCATGTCAGAAGAGGACATCAGATCCCATTATAGACAGTTGTGAGCTGTCATGTGGTTGCTGGGAATTGAACTCAGGACCTCTAGAAGAGCAGCCAGTGCTCTTAATCACCGAGCCATCTCCCTAGCCCTCTTTTTGTTAAAGGTTCTTTTTAGGTAACTCAGACTGATCTCAAGGTCTCCAACCTTCTGCCCCAGCCTCCTTGGTTCTGGAACGCAGGTATGTACTACCTCACCTACCCTACTGTGAGTAGTGTCAGTTGTCAACTTAACAGAATCTAGAGTCACCTAGGAGATGGGTCTCTGAGCATTCCTGAGTCAGTTTTATCTTCTGGTGTTAATTGGTAGGAAGCCCCGCCCACTGTGGGTGGCACCACTCCCTAGGCTGGCATCCTCTGTTTTATAAGTGGGGAGAGGGAGCTGGGTGGCAGCATACATTCATCCCCCCCCCGCTTCCTGATCGTGGACTCGATGTGAGCAACCGCTTTAAGTTCCTGCTGCATGACTTCCCTGAATAAATCTTTTCAGAAAACTTGCTCTTGTCAGGACAATTTTTTATCACAACAACAAGAAAAGAAACTAAGACACCATCCCCCACCCCTGACTTTTTAGATCCCAATTCCTGAAGTGGAGTCTGAAGTCTAGGTACATGATCCCCAGTGGAGCCTGTGGTCAGAGGGATGACCAGCCAGCTCTAGGACAGCAACCTTTCTGAGTCACCATTGTGACACAATCTAGTCCTGTTTCCTCATGGAGGGGCTAACAGGGGTCCCCAGCCATCTGGGAGGCACCTCACTCACCTTCACATCAGGTGGGAAGAACGCTCTGGTCAGAAGGTAGAGGTTCCTGGTGCAGAGACGGAGACTGAGGTTGGTGACATTCACTTGGAAGAAGTTGGTGGACTTGACTTTGGGACAGATGTCATGCTCACCATAGAAAGGGGACACTGTGATGGTGGTTTTGGCATCCAGCAGGGGGACATTGTCACTGGCTCCTCCATCCACATACCGCTGTAAGGAAGAGGGAAAGGATGACCCTGTTTGCTGAGACACTGCAGTCAAGATGGTGGCCTGGGAGCAGCTCCTCCAGTGGCTCTTTCTGGCTTTCAAGGTTGCTGTGTCCTGTTGCATAGGATGCCTACCATGCAAAAGTGCCAGACACATGGAGATGAGAGTCCATTCCATGTTGTGCTTGTCAAGTCCCAAGGCCAGGTGGACACCTATAGATGAGTCCCTGCCATGTGCACAAAGGAGCCATATATACTAGAGGTGCTATGTTTTCTGGGAATGGAGTGTGATATGAACCCTGCCCCAAAGGAGACTCCTTTGCTGCTTGGGAGATCTAGGGCAAGGTATTTAATTGAGCCTCTTTTCCCATTAACATTTTTCTTTGGGGAAAGGGGGTAACCTTGAACTCATGATCCTCCTACCCCAGTCTCCTGATTGCTGAGATTACCTGTGCAAGTCACCATGCTCATGACAGAGTCTTGCATAGCTAAGGCTGGCCTTGAACTCCCAACCCTCCTTCCTGCGGAAAAGCATTCTAGGAAGTCAGGGGACATCACCAAGATGCTCTTGGATCCCTTCTGCTTAGTTCTGGAAAGATTATATGCCTATATTATATCACAAGCAGAGTAGGGACCAATATCAAGATCCAAGATGAGCTTAATGGCCAGGGTCCCTAGTAACCCAGTCCTGGGCTATATCCACAAAGGGCACCCATGTGGTTCATACATATACACTCAAACAAACAAAAAAATACAGATTGTTCTACTGTTGGGTGTGGTGGCACTTGCCTTTTAGTCCCAGCACTTAGGAGGATTCTAGCCAAAGTTACATAGTAAGACCCTGTCTAAAAGATTAAGAAATGAAATACACAGCCAGCTTATATTTCCTCTGAAAACCAACTACCTTACAAGAGTAATTTAATTCCTAAGCATCTTACACTTTAATTAGGCCACCAGGCCGATCCCCAGGGTGCTCAAGAGCCGATTAAAGGAGCCAGGCCAGTGTATCCAACAGGCAGCGGACAGGGAGGTGGAAGACAGTCCTGGGGGGTGAGTCTCTGTGGGTCAGTCCTATGGGAATGCCTGGGATGGGTTCTGGCCTCAAGGCTGAAGACCCCAGCTCTGCAGCTAGACCCAGCCATGGGAGCCCAGGTCACTACAAACGGGGTCTCAAATACTCAGCTGCAGCCCACCCCCCACCCACATGTATACTTACCTCACCTCTGAAAGAAGGAGGGATTAGGCCGGAGAAGAAGGGAATGAAACAGGAGCACACCAGGGCCTGTAAGGACAAAGGGACAGTCACAGGGTGCCGCACTTCCCTGTGCCCTTCTATTCTTCCCCAAATGAGCAGCACAGGTGAAAGGCTCTCTGCACACAGTAGGCTTTTTGTTTTGTTTTCGAGACAGGGCTTCTCTGTAGCTTTGGAGGCTGTCCTGGAACTCACTCTCTAGACCAGGCTGGCCTCGAACTCACAGAGATGCACCTTGCCTCTGCCTCCCAAGTGCCGGGATTAAAGGCGTGTGCCACCAACACCCGGCACACAGTAGGCTTTTTAACACCTGAGTGAATGAATGACACTCACACTTGTATTTGAGGGCCTTGGGTCAGCAATACTGGCTCCTTACCATTTGCCCTGCACCCGTCAATTTTCTGTCCTTGCCCCCATGCTGACCATACTGTTGACTCGGTGGCATAAGGGGCTGGAGCCATGCATCTTGCCCAGGAGCTACAGGAAGCACAGACCTGGGTTCTCCCTCAGGGTCCTTCTGCAGCCAGTTAGAAGCCATGTGGACCCAGACCACACTTTGAGAATCACTGTGCTGGACAGTACACGGTACATTGAGAACAGATAGGTGTTGGCAATTTAGAAGGTACTAGAAATTCAAGTGGAGAACTGGATTGCGTGAAGGGCTGCTGGCCACATGTGCAGCCTCATAGGGACTCACATTCAATCAAACACGTTATTCATTTAAGAACTGAAAAAAGCCTATGTGGACCAAAAATGGCATTTTTTTTTCTTTTTTGGTTTTTCAAGACAGGGTTTCTCTGTAGCTCTAGAGCCTATCCTGGAACTTGCTCTGCAGACCAGGCTGGCCTTGAACTCACAAAGATCTGCCTGTCTGTGCCTCCTGAGTTCTGGGATTAAAGGCATGCGCCACCACATTTTGGCTCCAAAATGATATTCTGATATGATCAATTATCTTCTCTATGCTAGATCTTGAGACTAGAGGCAAATAAGAATGGTCCCACCCTGGAGAATCTTCATTAAAAAAAAAAAAACAGCCTCACTGCTTAATATGCATAGATTGGGGTGTGGAGCACACACAAGACCGGTTCTCTGAGTCTTAAAGAAGGAAGAGAGACTTTTGTAAGGGTGCGGTTACACAACAGAGCACTTGCCTGGTATGCCCAGGGGCCTATCTGTTGTGGAATAATCCTTTTGTACACTGTAAAGATTTGTCACTTGGCGGATTCATTTTATAAAAAGTTGAATGGCCAGTAGGTAGGTAGGATTTTCGGAGCGGAGAGGATGCTGGGAAGAAGAAGAGTTGCCAGCCAGACGAAGAGAAAGCAGGACACGCAGGAGAAGAGGTAACAAACCACGAGTCATACGACAGCACACAGATTAGTAGAAATGGGTTAATTTAAGTTATAAGAGCTAGCTAGAAACAAGCCTAAGCTATCGGTCAAGCTTTTGTAATTAATAAGAGGTCTCTGTGTGGTTATTTGGGAGCTGGCTGGAGGGACAGAAAAACCTACCTACACCTATTTTCCATTCTCAGCACTGGAAAAATTAAGAGAATTAAAGAGTTCTGACATAGAGGGGCTTCCAAGCACTACAGACCAAGTCACCAGATATACAGTGCTCACATGGCTCCAGTCCAGTGAGACAATGACATTTCTATGCTGCTTTTGTATTTGACCACACCCAGAGGGGCAAAGGACTTACGTCCACCACTTCATCTTTGGAATGGAAGTCAGACACCAGCACATTCTCCCCATCCGACACCCTGGTGAGTGAGATGTAAACCTTGCCAGAGATGATCTGGTGCACATTGTCTGGGAGGGTCTCCTGGAGCCCATCTCGGATACACTTATTAATGTTGAAGAACGGATGAAGGGAGCCAATGTTGCGGCTCCTGGCTTTCCGCACAAGGTCCATGAGGATCTCCATGATCTGATCTGTGGACAGAAGACAAACCCACAAAACAGGGTACTACACTGGAGACCAGAAACCACACAGAACTCTTGAATTGGTCCCAATGAAGACACCATAAAACTCACCTTGTATTTTTGGCCATGATTGAGCTCATTCCAGGAGGCTACATTCCAAAGGTTTACTAGGTGACATTATCTCTTTAACAGTGGTTTACAGTCATTACAAAGTGATAATATTCTGGGTATGGCAAAAAAAAAATCAATTCTACCCTGTCTGACTTTACACAATGGAGCAACTAAGAAATGTAAAATGGCCTGAATGAGTGTGGTGTGTATTTCATGGACAGTGCTGAGCTGGCCTTCCAGTGGCCCATGTATGTGAGAACTCTTACCTGTGTGTCCATAAAGCCACGAGCCACCAATGTGTCAGCACCCCAGCCTTGGCACACATGCATTAAACATTAGGGGGTACAGAAGAAATGATGTAGGCCCGGACCTAAATGTTGTTCTCAATGCTACCCCTTACTGAGGAACTCTGCCACCTGTCTATCCTTCCGATTGCCTTTAATTTTTTAAGATTAATTTGTTTACGTGTGTGTGTGTGTGTGTGTGTGTGTGTGTGTGTCGCTTTATGTGCACCACATGTGTGCAGGAGTTCACAGGGGCCAGAAGAGAGCTTCACATTCCCAGGACCTAGAGTTACAGATGGACGTAAGTTGCCAAGTGGGTGCTGGGAACTGAACTCGGGTCCTCTGCAAGAGCAGTAAGCAATCTCAACCACTGAGCCATTCTCCAACCACTAGGTTGCCTTTTCAAAGAGAATAAAATTTACTTGCTTTTGGAGACAGGAAGCACTGAGTAAAATAACATCTATAAAGTGCTCAACCCAGAAAGGGCTGCCTAAGTGGCTCATCTCCCTGTAAGCCTCCAGGCCCAGAATCCCCAGATTGCACAGTGGGTGCGTGGTGCATTCTCCTGCCCTCACTCTCCAGCCCAGTGCCCTCTGGCCAATCCACATTGTCCTGGCACCACAACCAGCATCATAATCCTGAACTCCACGAGGACAGACATATCCCAGCCTGTCCCGATTCAACCCTAACCCTGACATCCCAGCAAACCCTACTCTCCTGACGAGACTGGCTTGAGAATGAACTTACATGCTACTGGCAAACCCTACCACCCCCTCTGCCAACTCAGATGCCCCAAGGGTCTATGCGTGTCACAAGCCCTGGGCAAGGCGCCTTAGCAGCTCCTACCAGAGATAACCTATAACTCCGACCTCTCTGTGACCTGATAGGACAGCCACAGGCTGCCCCTGTCTCCTGTGCAGTTACTGATTCCTCTGTAGCCGTGGTTCTCAACCTTCCTAAATACTGCGAACCTTTAATACAGTTCCTCCTGTTGTGGTGACCCCAAACCATAAAAATATTTTTAGTTGCTACTTCATAACTGTAATTTTGCTACTGTTTTGAATTATAGTGTAATTATCTGTGTTTTCTGATGGTCATGGGTGATCCCCCAAGGGGTCGCAACCACAGGATGAGAAGAAACACTGCTCTGTATGAAAGTGGGTGTACATCATATTCCTGGGGTCATTGCATTTAAACCTTGTCTCAATAACCATCCATCCATACGGGGTCCAGAGGCCTCCAGGAAGGAAATGCCTTTAGTCAGTGCTAAAGCCCAGGGTGTGCAATGGCCGTTGGGCTGGTCTAGTCTTCCCTGAGGCCACTCTCTCTGACCTTTGCTCCCATCTCTTTCCCTCACTGGGGAAGACAGACAAGCAGGCACACAGCCAGACCTGCTTGTCTTCTAATGCCTGAGTCCCATCAGCTCAGGGTCTGCTCACTGATCCTATCCAATGGCAGAGCTCCGCTCATCAGCAGGGGCTTTCCTGAGCCTGCCAAAGTCACTCCCGCTGTCTGTGGCCAGCTGAGCAAAGAGTAAAGTGTTAAAGAGGTCCAGATCAATAAGGGCTGATAAGGGGCACTATCATGCCCCCTGGGGACCGTTGGGTGTCAGCAGCTCCCCCCTGGGCACTTAGCCCGGCCCTGCCCACAATCTCAAAAGCATCCAGCTGACACCGGGGAAGGGCATCACACCCTAGCAGTTTAGGGGGTGAGAGCAGTAAACTCACCTTCTCTTGAGCATGGATGCATGCATGGGCAAATGTTTAATTAGGCCAAGATTCAAATGCCCAGAATGTGACATTGATCTGGGAGGAGCGGCTGGCCCAGGTCAGTGAAGAGAGGATAGGGTGGAACTGAACCTGTCTGGGAATCCATTCCAATCTGTAGGGAGGGTTCCAAATACTTTCCTAACCCACGCACCCCACTCCCAACAGCCAACTCTCAAGGCGACCAGAGGGCTGGACTGCCAAAAAGGGTGTTCAAGTCTGGGTACCTTCTACCCCTCCTGGCGGCAACCACCGTGGTACATCAGCTAGAGACACACAGGACAAACCCTCCGCGGCTCTGATGACAGGGACCAGAGGATCCCGCGCCCCTGCGTTGTTCCCTGCACCTTGTTCCCTGCTGATCCGGGGTAACCCAGCTGACAGGACACAGGTGGAGGGCCCATTTCAAACCAGGGCGCCAGAGCAGGCCGGGAAGAAGATGCTCAAGTCTCTCCGGTGCGCAGCGCGCCCGCTGCCGCCCGCCCTCGGAAATCCCACGCCCGGCCCCACTGCACCGGGAAGGGTGAGAGCTGTCTGAGCTGGTTCTTTCGGACACCCCGGAAGGTGTCATCGATTCCCCAAATGGAGAGCCCGTCCCCGCACACGGGGCCTGAGTGGTGACTGTGAACGCACCGAGAGGGATACTGCATGCGAAGGTGACCGCGTGCAGTGCACCAGCCGAGCAGCCGAAGAACGTGTGCGCATCGCGGAGGAGGTGTGGGGCGCGCTCGCTCAGACACAGCGTGGCCCCGACGTGGTAGAAGCCTAGGAAACCGCAGCCGGCGAACGACAGACTCCAGCGGCGCTCTGGGTCGTACATGGCGCTGGGCGCTCGGCGCTCTGGGTGGCGCTGCAACTCAACTCCGCTCCGGGTTTGTGGTTCTGAGCCTACCGAGAGGCACAGCCACCAGAGCAGACCTAGGATGATGTCACCGAGGCCCCGCCCCACTCGGACCATGCAAATTAGCCAACGGGAGGCCCAATGGGCGTACAGGACTCCTGTCTCGTCCCCGCCCTTGTGGGCTTTCCCGAACCCTTGGCTTCCATGCTTGCTGGACAGAAGAGGCACTTTTCTTTCCCTTTCTTTCAGGTCCTAGGTGGCATGCCCGTGACACTCTTTCATTTCCTTTACTACACGGGAGATGCCACCATCTAAAAAGGGCTTATCGTTTTTATTTATTTTCATGTAGGTTTTCTGGTTTTGCAGCTATTTATTTTGCTTTCTGTACATTTTCAATTCATGGAGAAAGGTAGGGGGCTTTCTTTTAAGAAATGATACTAAGGGATTTTTCCCTCCTGTGGAGTATTTTGCTTGCCTGTATGTCTGTGCACCACGCGTGTGCAGTGTCCACAGAGGCCAGAAGAGGGCGTTAGAGTACCTGGATCTGGAGTTACAGACAATTGTAAGCCGTCTCATGGGTGCCTGGAATCAAACTAAAAGAGGAGTTGTGATCTCAACCACTGAACCATCTCTCCAACCCCTTGTTCAATTTTAAAGTACTGGGAACTGAACCAGGGGCCTCCTGCATGCTAGGCAAACTCTCTGCCAGTGAGCTGCACTCCCAGCCTCTTTTTTAAATTTGTTTGTTTGTTTGTTTATTTTTTCGAGACATGGTTTCTATGTAGTTTTTGGAGCCTGTCCTGGAACTCAGTCTGTAGACCAGGCTGGCCTCGAACTCACAGAGATCACCTGCCTCTGCCTCCCAAGTGCTGGGACTCAAGGCATGTGTGACACCACTGCCCAGCTGCAGCCTCCTTTTCTTAAGACATGTTGATTCCTTCAGTTACTCAGTTGGCTTTGAATTCAGTCTTTACCCCAGCCTGGACTTCAACTTCTGACCCTCTTACCTCATCCTCATAAGGAACTAGGATAACAGCATGGCACCACCTGGTATATCTGTGCAACACATTCATGCCTGGTGCCCGTGGAATCTGGAAATGGCATTGGATCTCCTGGAACTGGAGTTAACAGACGGTTGTGAGCCACTATGTGGGTGCTGGGAATTGAGCCCAGGTCTTCTGGAGGAGCAGTCAGTGCTCTTAACCACTGGGCCATCTCTCTAGTCCTATGGTAGAAGAATTTGATACAGCTTTAAGTAGAAGGAAAAAGAAAAAAGTTTAAGTTACAAAATCACTCACCCCACAAAACAAATTTCTTTTAAAAATACTTTTTCAAAGTGGGTCAACACAAGAAATGTGTTCAGTGACTCGTGGTGTCTAATTCCTATGCACTAATGGTCAGTGGGATTAAAAAGATATCCCCATTCAGTCACTGCTCAAAGAAAGAACACAGGACCGACAGCCTCGAAAACAATACAGAGAAACCCTGTCTCGTAAAAAAAAAAAAAAAAAAGAAAGAACACAGGTTGGATTCTTTGGCAATGCAGAAATACTCAGAGTGTTGACTTCTCATGTCCATTATGGGGTGGGGGGAGGGAGGAGACAACTATAACATCGTTGAGATGAGAAAAAAAATTGTTTTATGTGGGCAAAAGTTTCTGTCCCACCTGATCCCACAGCCATTTAGTTCCAAAAACACAAAGAGGCTTATATTAATTATAAGTTGTTTGATCAATAGCTCAAGCTTCTTATTGGCTAGTTCTCTGGTGGCTCAGGCTTCTTATTGGCTAGCTCTCTCTTAATTATCATTTCTAATAATCTATGTATCTCCACATGGTCTTGGCTTACTGGAGAATGCCCAGGCATACTACCTTTCCCGTAGCTATATGGCATCTCTCTGATTCTGCCTATTACCTTTCTCTATCCCTGTTTGAATTTTCTGCCTGTCTAAATGCTGCCTGTCCATTGGCCAAAACAGCTTTATCCATCAACCAATAGGAGAAACATATATTTACAGCATACAGGACATCCCCCACCAGTTTCACATCCTTTCTCATGACTCGTGTGTCCTTTTGTCTGCATCCCTCTTCTGGTCTCCTTTCTAAATTGTAGAAAAATGCAAGGGCCTGTTCACCCCACGTTTCCCTTCTTGGCTCTTCTCATGTGCTGAGTGAGACAAGGTTACTCTCTGCCTTGTACCTGATGAGCATCATTTAACCACCCAGAGCTTTGGTCTGCTTCCTAGTACTCAGGAGGAGCAAACAGAAGGGTGTGGCTCATTGTGAGGCTAAGTGTGAAGACAGCTGCCAGCATAGTGCTAGGAGCACTCCTAGTGCCCCATCCCAGTCTCTGTGTCTGCCTTATACCCATGCTCCTCTTCTGGCTCTTGCACAAGCTGACCCAGCATTCTGTTGGTAGTGCACTGGGCTGGTGACATCGTAGTGCTGAGCTCCCCGTTCTGGCCTCAGGGAGTTTCTCCATATCTCACCATCTGTTCCCTCAAAAAATCAAATGACAGCTTGTCCATGGTAAGAGGACCTGTGGCTGTGCCCTCTGCTCTCTCTGTATCTCTGTCTCTGTCTCTGTCTCGTCTGTCTGTCTGTCTGTCTGTCTGTCTCTCTCTCTCTCTCTCTCTCTCTCACACACACACAGACACACACACACACAACACACACACACACACTGCTCTTCAGATCTCTATGACGACAGAGGGGCTGTCCAAGCTTGAATAATGAAATATTCCTTCCCAAGAGAAAAAAAAAACCACACACACTAAAACATTCATTTCCCCACCACTCTGGTGTTAAACTCAAAATACATTGTGGGATTGGCTGACAAAAGCTGGGCAGGAAGGCTAGGGCATTCTTTCCTGTGGCGTACATGTGGTGGTTATAGTAACTATGCCTTCACTGTAAACACTAAGTGCCTAGGAAAGAGAAGATACAAAAAATAATTAAGATTTTAATATTCAGTTATGTTGTATAATTCAGGTTTAATTAACTCTGCTATTTGGGGGCTACAGAGATGGTTCAATTGTTAAGAGCACTTGCAACCACTTCTGATTTCAGTTCCAGGGGATCCAGCGCCCTCTTCTGGCTACCCAGGGACCTTTATGCACAAGAACATACACTCCTGTAGACACACACACACACATACACATAAATAAAAACATAAGTCTATCTTTTAAAAATAAGAGTGAGTTGCCTGTGTGTTTGAAGCCTGCCTGGTCTGCAGAGCTAGTTCCAGGACAGCCAAGGCTACACAGAGAACCCTGTCTCAATAATACAAAAACAACAACAATAACAAAAAAAAGTTTGTGTTGCTTATTGGAGAGACCTAAACAAACAAACCAACACTATTTTTTTTTTAGTTTTTCAAGACAGGGTTTCTCTGTATTGTTTTGGACCATGTCCTGGAACTTGCTCGGTAGACCAGGCTGGTCTCGAACTCACAGAGATCCGTTTGCCTCTGCCTCCCGAGTGCTGGGATTAAAGGGGTGCACCACCAATGCCCGGCTTTTTTTTTTTTAACTCTTTTCATGTAATCTTTCAGGTGACTATGGTGGTTAACCTTGTTTCCAACCTGTATAGACTTGAAACCACCTAGGAGTCGTTCCTCTGGCCATGTCTGGGAGGAGTTTCCATTCACCTAAGCAGGGAAGACCAAGTCCAAATATGGGTGCCATCATCCCACGGTGTGCCTCCAAAGTTCCAGACTGCAAAGGAGGAAGGCAATGGAGTACCAACATCCAGTTCTCTGTTCAGGTTGTCTGCAATGCAACTGGCTGCTAGCCATTCTCACTTCCACGTCTTCCCACCTAGGGGAATGCTACCCTCAGACTGCTGAAATAAACATGCCCTAGGGCCAGCAAGATGACTCAAGAGATGAGTCTTACTGCTAAGGCTGATGACCCGAGTTCCATCCTAGGACCCTTGTGTTCTCTCTCTCTCTCTCACACACACACACACACACACACACACACACACACACACACACACACACTGTGATAAAGCATCAGAATAAGCCCTTTTGCCCTGAGACTGCTTTTTTCAGGTGTTTTGTCACAGGCACAGGACAAGGAACTGACAGAGACCAAGGTGCTTCCTGGATTTCAAAGTTGCTCCTGCTTTCAGGAATCCTTCGGTCCAGAAAAGCTGGGAGAGCTGGCTCCTTTTGCTCAGTGCCTTGCAAATGCCAGGGGTAGATTTTAGCCTCTAACATGTCTCCACCAAATCCTAACAGAGGTTAATGTCACTGGTCAGGAGATATCTAATTCACTGACCCAGAGTCTGAGAACAGCTCCGAAGGAAACAAAGCTTCTGTGACTCATAGTATTCATGGATTTTGCATGTTTTTATGTTGCTTATTTGCCAAAGTTTAATTATAACGCACAAGCCATAATTTGTGAGTTATTTGTGGACATGCACAAAGATGGGTGAAAATGTGAGTTTCTCAATTTGTCCATTTCTGGCTGAATTAAACAGCAAGCCTTCTTGTTTGGCTCTTTTGCTATCAACAGTGTCCTCCTGGTCTGGTGACTGACTGCTCTGTTTTCACACTGGGGACATTCTTTTCACTTTTTTGACTGTTTCAAATGGCCTGTTCATATCTGAAGCTCTCCCTAGGGTTCCCTGGAGCAGGGATCCTGGGGTGTGTCTTACAGAGAAAATGCATTTAAATGAGCAGGGAAATCAGAAGTTGAAGGTCATCCTCAACTACACGGGGGCTACACGATACCCTGTCAACAAACAAGCAAAAACAGAAAAGCATATTTAAAGGGGAGAGAATGCAAAAAAGAGCCAAGAAAAAAAAAGATGCATAAACGGAGGTTGTGGCCCGAGGTTTGCAGAAATGTAACCGTGTATTTATTTGGACTAATTTTCACCAGGGAAAATCAGAATTGACTGTGTGCTGAGGGTGTCACTTAGAGGTATGGCAAATGGCACTTGCCATGTGTATGTGAGGCACCGAGTTTACTCTCCAAAAAGGGAGGGAGGGAGCTCAGAAGAATGTATGCTATACACTCCTTTAGAAGTAGGAAGGTGGATGCTGAACTTGGTGTTTA